CAAAGTATTTTGAATTCCACTGGAGGTAGGCAAATTGGCTGTGTTTTGAAAGTCTACATAATCACTACTTTCCCACAAGATAATTGAACAGTAAGTGTTATTTAAAGTAGTCTTGGAATAATTCCCAGTTTCACCGAAGGAAAAGAAAAGTTTATATCTTGGGATTTTGTTTTGTTTTGAGAATCAGCACACACGCCTGTTCATGCAACTCTTTTGTCTGGTTGGGATTAAATTAAATCCATTACTTCAAAGAGGTTTTGCCATACTTCAGCAGGTATACTTACCAACATATCCTATTTCCCACCTTGGTAACAGTCTCTCGTGGTGTGTCTCTTCCTGCATGTAAGATTTTGTAGAGAAATATAACAGCCTCCCTCATCTTCCTGTCTGATTAAGTTAAGAATGTCACAATTTTCTTGGAATAGCCATTGGTGATGTCATTGCCTCTTCTTATGAGGGTGAGTTGTCAGGAACTAGGATTTCACTGAGGCCTTAGGGTATGAATGAGGAGGAGAGTCTGCTGGAAATGTTCCTAGTAAAGAAGGTAAGCAAAGGTTAGTGACTTCTCTGTAGTCACCAACATGACCTGTAGCCTACTTACTAATGTGGTTCACAATATTTAAGAAATGAGTCATATATGATGAAGAAACCCTTGTTCTTCAAGAGTTACCAAAATGGCCTGTTTTTCCACTATTTTCTATTGCCTTGTGTTAAGAGTTTAAGATAGCATAATACGGTCAGAGATGTATTTGCATGTATCTTTCGGGGAATTTCAAGTGCTTTCACATCTTTCTTGTTAAGTGGCACGCAACTGCACAGATGCTTACTTTTCTCTTCTTTCTGATTAACTTAGAAGAGCTGCAGTTTTCACAGAGGTGGTTGTGATGTTATAACCCCCCCTGAGCTGCAAGGTTATCAAATCCTGAATTCTTAGATAAGGTAGTAGGAGGTGATAGGGAGAGTATCCAGGGAGTGCTTAGTTGATAGAAAAAAAACAAATAGTCTGCTCAGGGAGAAAACAGCGAGTAGTTGCAGCTTTGCGACCGGAGGCTCTGATGAACAAAGCAGTTAAATTTTAGATCAGACACACTCCTCTTTTGTTTCTCAGCAAGCCTCTCTTGGACTGTGGTGAGGATGATTGGAAATGTGCATAGTAGAATCACCTGAATTTGGCATTACCATTTGGTATTGTCTGAACATACCCTGTTCCTACCTGCCATTGAGTTTGCAGTTGGTGTTGTCTGAACACACCTTGTTCCAACCTGCCATTGAGAACAGTGTAGCCTAGGCCCCACAGTATGGATGTGCCCTCACAGGACAGCTGTGCTTGGTGTCCAGTCTACAGCCCCTTCATATATCACACAGCCACACACCCCTTCACATAAGTGTGGCCTGACTCCCTGTGTCTGGTTTCTAATCCATGCTAGTTCTAGAACCCACCTCATCTGCTAAGATCATTTTCCCAATCTGGGCCCTCTGCCAGGCCTTCCTGCAGCTAAGAGGAAGGACACTAGCCTAAACGTTAAGAACCTGGACTTCCGCACTTGGTTTTCACTAGCCATGGGAACGTGAGCAAGTCACTCATCCATCTGTGTCTCAGTGTCTCAGTGATTCCATCTGTAAAATGGAAATAGAGTAAAATGGAGATGAGATCATCCCCAGTGACTGGGCGCAGTGGCTCACACCTGTAATCCCAGTGCTTTGGGAGGCTGAGGAGGGTGGATCACTTGAAGTCAGGAGTTCCAGATTAGCCTGGCCAACATGATGAAATGCGATCTCTATTTAAAAAGTGCAAAAGATAGCTGGGCGTAGTGGTACATGTCTGTAATACCAGCTATGGAGGTTGAGGCAGGAGAATCGCTCTGAACCCAGGAAGTGGAGGTTGCAGTGGGCCAAGATCACACCACTGCACTCCAGCCTGAGTGACACAGGAAGACACCATCTCAAAAAAGAAAAAGATAATCTCAGGCTTCTTCTGCAGATGAAATTAGATAATCACATAGTACCAGATGTTGAAAAATTTACTATAATTAATAGGAATTAATTAATGAATGCCAAGGGGCAGAGCCACACTTCTTATGATAGTTTCTTGCTATAAGGTGCTATTTTGTTCTCTACATTTACTCTAGAGTAAGCTTTTGTTTGAGAGAAAAAATGCCAGTTTGGTGCATAGAAGATATGCAGAGGCTGAGTCAGGAACGGATGATGCAATAACACAATAGTACCAGAATGTATGATGCTTTTCTCTCAACTTGGTTGATTTTTTTTTTTTTTTAACTTTTACTTGAACCAAACAAGCAAAAATACATGCTCCCCAGAAGAACAGAAGTAAGGATTTTCTTTGAGAGGCTGAGGTGGGAGGATCACCTGAGGTTAGGAGTTCAAGACCAACCTGGCAAACACGGCAAAATCCCCTACTAAAAATACAAAAATTAGCCAGGTTTGGTGATGTGGGCCTGTAGTCTTAGCTACTTGGGAGGCCGAGGCAGGAGAATCGCTTGAACCTGAGAGGCGGAGCTTGCAGTGAACCGAGATGCTGCCACTGTACTCCAGCCTAGGCAACAGAGCGAGACTCCATCTCAAAAAAAAAAAAAAAAAAAAAAAAAAAAAAAAAAGGAAAGATTTTCTGCTTAACTTCCTAACTTTTCCTTAACCAGGAAACTCTTTTTAAAATAATGGCATAGAATCATCCATTCATTTGCTTGTTCATTTGTTTTTGTTTTTGTTTTTTTTTAACTCATTTGTTCAATGAGTGGTTATTCATTGCTACAGGCACAGATTTCCTAGCCCTTATGTACCTTTCCTCTCTAGTAGGGGATTTAGTCAGTGGGAAGGCAGCTAGGGGGCAATATGACTTTTTATTTTTCAATTGGGATGCGGAAAGGTCAGAGGCTATGAAGGTACTTAGGGTTACCCAGAGTTAAAAGAGCCAGAGGACTTCCCAGAAGAAATGGTGTCAGACAGGAGATCTAACTAATGAGTAAACATTGCCAGGCAGAAAACAGCACATATGAAGACTTAGGAGCAACAGAGACTCTGACTTGAAGGAGGAGCTAAATTCGATATGACTGAAATGTGGTTTTAGGAAGACACATAGAAAAAGACAGGGTTAGAGAAGAAAGTTAGAGTCAGATTCTTTCGTTTTTACACTTTATGTCCAGCATGCAAAATCAGAGTTAATGCTGTGCAGTACTACTACGAAATGAAGACCTGTGCAGATGGAGAAAATCAAGGCTCTGGAAGACAGTTTTCTCAGTACAGGCTCTATAAGATTCCTAATTTCTTCTGCACTATCATGAATTTGAAAGACATCAGATATGCTCAAACACGTGTTCCAATTCTGCACTGGTTCCCTCCCTTCATTAAAGTGACTATTGGGACTTAATAATATCCAACATTCAAATTTCTATCTTTTTCAAAAGCCTTAACCCATCTGCCTGGTATTATTGTAAACCTAACTATGGTAATATTTTAAAAGGTAAATTATGCTAAATTATTAGCTCATAAGAAGAAAAAATCGTTCAACTCTAACATTAAGGCTAACTGAATTAAAGTATCTTAGAATGCTCTATATTAGTTTGAGAATAATTTTATAAGATGTACGAGGAGATAACTTATTACTGAACTATTAACTTTCAAAATAATCTGTATTTTCTTTTTTCCTTGATTGTTCATGCTATTCTGTCTGCTAACACTTCAGGTTAAAACCTTCATCCTTTGGTGTCCATTTTTGTAGCCTTGGACCATTTTAATGTTTCTTCTACTGGTAAACTAGATCATATATTCCAGGTCATTTGAATTTTTATTTTACTTGTCACATATATCTAGTTTTACTAGATTTAGAAGACAGCAGTCTGCTTTAATTCTTTTGTATCTACTGTACCTCAACATGGGGCATATGTTGTTTAATGATAATTATAAAATATATATACAGAAGGCTCAAGAAAGAATTTTAGTTTCTTTGATATTTTAATCCTTCCCAATATTGACATGAAAAAAAAAATGGAAGCAAATATGCTTCCATGTTAATTGAATGCTGCTGAGTAACCTGCTGCAGTTTCTAAAGATCAAACTGATACCTGGGTTCTTTCTGTGCCATCTTCTGTGGTTCCAAGTGTCAGGTTAGTTCTTCTTCAGGAAAACCCATAGTCTTTAGGTGAAGTTCTGAAGGAAGTGAAACTAACCAAAGGAAGGATGTAAACACCAATCTCATCCTGTACTCTAGACATATGCACGTTGTTACACATAAAGATAGCTCGTACCATATTTGTTCTAGATTTTTGCTAAGTATCCCCTTATAAAGACAGTTAGCATAAAGCCACTTAGATAAGGTATCTGCTCTCTAAATGAGTCAACATATGAAAATGCTCAGGGCATAGAAAGCACTGAGCAAAGGCTAGTTGTTGTTCTTGATTTTAATTTTGTTTCATTCTTTAGAGCTGTGCTGAACAATATGTAGCCATGAGTCACATGTGACTACTGAGCACTTGAGATGTTACTTTTCCATATTGAGATGTGCTCTAAGTATAAAGTCTACACTGAAGTTCAAAGACTTAGGAAAAAGGAATGTCAAATATCTCATTATTAATTTTGATATTGCATGCTAGTTTTGATTGCATGCTAGTTTGGATATATTGAGTTAAATAAAATATATTTTTAAAATTAATTTCACCTGTGGCTTTTTATGTTCTTAATGTGGCTGGCTACTAGAAAATTTGAAATTATATGCGTGGCTCATATTCTTGGCTTGCATTATATTTCTATTGGACGGCATTGCTTTAAAGAGACCTTCTAGGGTGTGTGGCAAAGCAGCAGTATTACAGACATTGATCAAAGCTCTTGATCAGCTAAGCAGAAAGGAAGCAGGTCAAATCGTAGCTGAACAAATATAAACTATTCACATTGAAATTTAAATGTATTTTTCACTGTTTGTGATCAGGTTTATTTTTAAGAAACTACACTTAACACTTTGTGTCTAATAAAAAAAAGTCTGTTTCTAGGTTACTGGTTGGTTCACCCTGGAGTGGCTTTCCTGAGAACCGAATGGGAGATGTGTATAAGTGTCCTGTTGACCTATCCACTGCCACATGTGAAAAACTAAATTTGCAAAGTAAGTTTAAATTTACTTGCGAAACAAGTGATTTGTCTTAGACTCAACTGAAAAATAACATCAAAACAATCATTGTTCTGTCTTAAAGAAATATAGGCAGCTTTTTTTTGCTCTTATGTCTTTAGAAATATGGGGCACAATTGTATCCAAATTTCCAAAACAGTTTGGAAACTTGACTTAACGAGATGTGTGGAAAATGTGCTGTCTCCTGGACCATTTACCTCCAGGCCATGGACTGATTTCCATCAACATTTACAATAATTTTGATGATTACTTGCAGAAGTCCGAAACCATCCATATTTCTTTCTCTCCTCTTTGCAAAATAAACCATTAAGCTTGGAAACATAACTCAAGAATGGATACAGTGGTTGATGCCCTAGGTCAGTGGAAGGCAGGAGGTGGAGAGATTTATTTAGCATATTATATGGCTAGTCTAATTTCCTTTCAACATTCACCCACTGTTGCTTTGAGCCAGATTCTATCATAGGGCATTCTTTGATAACACTTCAAGGATATTTTTACTGACCCAGAAAAAAAAAGGCATTAGATAGAGCTACTATGACTTTCAAAAGAGAGGAAAAAATGGTGTCCTCAAATGTATTTTGTTTGGCCAGAATATTGTAAAAAATAATAATAATTAAACATCTATAAGTCATATCCTCTATAGAGCCCACTCCTTACTGCCTTATGCTCTGCAGCCTCACACATTAATGTGAGTTACCAGATCACTGAAGGCATTGCATTTCCCCACACTTCATTATATAATTCAGGTACCTATATTGATGACACTAAATTCAATGCTACATGAAAACATGGGTGTGCCTGGTTTTTTTAAAATATCTTTAAGTAAATGAGGAATATTTAATCACTTAAAAAAATTGTTTTCCCTTTGAAAGCTTCAACAAGCATTCCAAATGTTACTGAGATGAAAACCAACATGAGCCTCGGCTTGACCCTCACAAGGAACATGGGAACTGGAGGGTTTCTCGTGAGTGTTTACTTTACAAATCATTATTCCTCTCAAGAAAGTATGTAGATCTCCCTCACAATCCCTCCCAATCTGGAGGTTTAGATGCTTAGAACTTGCTTGTTGATAAATTATGCTATTTATTTGGCTATCCAATGTTGAATATTCAAAATAATGTTGATGTGTAGACTTTTTAGGATATTCAGCAAAACCACTGCTACTGTATGTCTTGAAGAAAAGGGAACAAAAAGAATCCTGATTCTTTGCCCTTGAAAAGTGTGTTGAGTATTTGTTGATAACAGCAGAATCCCAAATCTCATTTCTACTTCCTGTAGGATCAGTCAAGATAGGTACTGCTAATTTAAAAAGTAGGTTTCAAAGCTAAAAAGTATTTTTGGTTTTTAAACATTTCCTGTAATTGTTGAGTAATCTGGTGTTATTTGAGGCACGGAACAGTCTCTCATATCATATCAGTGTTCACGTTCATTTAGTTATGAAAAGAGTAAAAAGACATCACTAATCAGTGAAATAGAACGCCTTATTTAACAAGTGCTTTTGGAACAATTAATTGATTAATATTTACATATCCAAATACACTGTCAAGTGAATTGAAAGTTAATATAAAAAAATAGAGAAAAATGGAAATTTTCTGAAGGATGGAAAAATTTCTGAGTTTAAAGCTAATAAAAAAATATAGCAAATTGTTGAAAGGATTTGACTATATAAAAAAAGGGAAAAACATCACACACCAAAAAAAGAAGCTTAAAAACAAATAAAAACACAATCTTATTTGAAATTTCCATTGACTCACATAGGTATGCGTATGTATGTATAACCCTGTTAAAATTGTCTTAAAGAGGTCGGGTACGGTGGCTCATGGCTGTAATCCCAGCAATGTGGGAGGCTGAGGCAAGTGGATTACCTATGGTCAGGATTTCAAGACCAGCCTGGCCAACATGATGAAACCCTGTCTCTCCTAAAAATGCAAAAGTCAGCCAGGAATGGTGGCACACACCTGTAATCCCAGCTTACTCGGGAGGCTGAGGCAGGAGAATCACTGGAACCCAGGAGGCAAAGGTTGCAGTGAGCCAAGATCATGCCACTCAAAAAAAAGAAAAAGAAAAAAAAGTCTTAGAGGGCATAATTCAACTTTATATCAGTTTTATCTAAACCATTGGCATGCTTCCTTAAAAATCCTATGTTTTATAACTGTATTATTCTAAAAATGTAATCAATTTTGAACAATGTCATTCTATTTTTACTAATGGATATTACTATTCTGATGACTGTGCTGCCAGTAAGTGAATTAGGTATTGCTTGTGATATGTGTTAAGATCAGTGCATAAATGAATATTGCAAGGGATCTTTATGGTTTATGATATTCCAAAGTCTTTACAATAAGGTTTCTTTAATTTTTTGTTTGTTTGATTTTAAGGTTGCAAAAATGTAAAGAAAGAATATAGTAATACTTGGAGATTACAGAATGTGCCTCAAAATTTTTAATCTATAACTCCAGATAAAGTAAAAAATAAAAGTTAAAAAGCCAGAGAATTTGAGAGATTAATTAACATTACAGGTAGCAAACAGAGAGGCAGAAAGAGAGAGAGGGGGAGAAAGAAAAAAAGAAAAAACCCGAAGTTTCCTTTACATACTTAAAAGGTCAAAATCATAAGATACTCTTAAGAATTATGTGGAAAAGACTGACAATCATCACATATTTTTGAAACTTCTTAAGTTCTGGGCTTACAGTAGGAATGTAGTTCTGGCACTTACAATTGGCATATTTTAATTTCAACTTCTTAATGCTGTTTTCCATTGCTTTTAAAAAAAAAATTTTTTTGAATACTTCATGAGTTCTTTTTCAAAGTGATTTAAAAAAACTTAGGAATGGGGATATAGAAACCAATGATTGGTATCGGTTATTTGGTAAACAAACCAAAGACATTAATAATGACTTTCTTCTAATTAATTGGCAAAATAAATCAGTTTTATAGGGAGAAAACTATGCCTTGTTCATTGCACATGAAATATGGCCAAAGCTGCTTCCCCTTTGACAGTTAAACTGGGTCAAATAAGTTTCCTTTTATTTTTCCAATTACTTCACGCAAGCCCATATTCTTCTGTTCAGTTTTAATAATTGATTCACAACTTTACATAATGCTACATTCTGTAGGCATTTTTTTAGGAACTTAATTAGATTCTCTTTTGTACTTGTCTCCTTTTTCGTCTCTCAATTTTAAAGTTATTTAATCTAATGTTTCCTGTGTTATTTAATCATGATTTAATCAGGAGTTCTTGGCATTCAAGGACTCCTGAAAAGGAGAGAATTGGGATTGCATTAATGGAGATATTAAGGATTGGAGCAGGTATAATGTGAGCAAGAAGACAAGTACCATTCAGAATTAGTGACTGCAGTTAATTAGGAAGTGGGCAAGGTTAGAAACTGGTAGTCAGTGAACCTCATTTGTGTTTGCTTAGCATATGGAGTAATTTCGAACTGAATTTTCACACAAAATTTGCCCTCTCAACGCTCCTTTATAAATTAGGGAATCTGGCAACACAGCCTATTTCACACCAGTGGGCAGGCAGAAAACACAGTGGTCTGTACATAGGCATGAGTTCTTCATTCACCATGATGTCTATACCTGACCCCAAGCCCTCTTCAAGAGTTATTGCCATTAGGTTTATGGTTTCTGCTGAGCACTATGAATGGAAGGAACTGAAGAAAACTAATGTTCAACAAGAACAATGATAATGATGCTAGCTAACAATATTATATGGCATTTGCTATTTACCTGGCATTGTTCTAAGTGTTTTATATCTATAGACCCATTTAATCTTTACAACAATATTAAAAGATAGAATGTGTGGTTTTCCTCACTTTACAGATGAAGCACCTGAGGCCCAGGTAACTGAGAGACAAAAAGTGAACTTGCATGCATTCTCCTCCTTGGTGTCCTCTGGAAGGAAAGCACCTGTTTTATCTAGCTTGTTGGGAGACCTCATAGACTCCTCCCTTCTCTGACACCTGCTTCCAACAGTCCCAGCACTCCTCCTCCCACAAGGCTTGCCACTGGGCACAGAGCATCTGCCGCCTTCTCTATCACTTCTGCTTGCCCCAAATGCATTACTGACTCATTTGATTTTGAGTTGACAATTATTAGTATCTTGGAAAAGAGTAGAGATGATTTCTGAGCTCCATAATGGAGAGGTAGAAGTTGGCATTATTCATATGTTTCCATTGATTGTTTTCTCATTTCTTTGAAGACATGTGGTCCTCTGTGGGCACAGCAGTGTGGGAATCAGTATTACACAACGGGTGTGTGTTCTGACATCAGTCCTGATTTTCAGCTCTCAGCCAGCTTCTCACCTGCAGCTCAGCGTAAGTTATTAATGTGCAGATGGTCTGAGCAATGCCTTACAGTTAAAAGAGGGGAAAAAGGTTATCAACTAGTGGCACCCAAACCCTCCTTAAGTCTCATTTTTATATGGCTGTGAAATGTGACTTACCTTTGGAAATCTGCTTCTTTCTCTTTTCCTGTGTAGCGTGCCCTTCCCTCATAGATGTTGTGGTTGTGTGTGATGAATCAAATAGTATTTATCCTTGGGATGCAGTGAAGAATTTTTTGGAAAAATTTGTACAAGGCCTGGATATAGGCCCCACAAAGACACAGGTATGGACAGCAGAAATGCATAAACTACCTTATGACTTTCTTTCTGAAAAAAAATTGTTAGATATAAAGTCTTAATTTTTATATTTGCCGAATCCCCATTTTAAATGCATTTAATGGTAATTTTTAAAGTTAATTGAAACTTGTACTACATTAGGGTTATTCTACCTGTGACTTTTCCCAATACTGGTCTTTTGACCTTAGAGTTCTATTTCTGACACAAGCATTGAAGATTAAAGGTATGGGATCTAACTTTTTTTTTTTTTTTTTTTTTTTAAGACTGAGTCTTGCTCTTGTCATCCAGGCTAGAGTGCAATGGCACAATTTAGGCTCACTGCAACTTCCGCCTCCTGGGTTCAAGCAATTCTTTTGCCTCAGCCTCCTGAGTAGCTGGTATTACAGGCTCCTGTCACCACACCCAGCTAATTTTTGTATTTTTAGTGGAGACAGGATTTCACCATGTTGGCCAGGATGGTCTGGAACTCCTGACCTCAGGTAATCCACCCGCCTCCGCCTCCCAAAGTGCTGGGATTACAAGCATGAGAAGCATGAGCCACCACACCTGGCCGGGATATAACATTTTAATCTTCCTTTAGTTTCCTGTCTTTCCCCTCTAACCCATGCATTACATTTTAAAATTCAGTATGTATTTTTATGTACATTTGGACTAATAATTAATTTCTTTTGTTTATTCCTTGCTGGTAAAACAAGTATTGAATTCTGAAATTTGTATAAATAAGTCACTAAGCATAATTCTACCATTTATGATAATGTTTTATAGCTATTTATCATATTCCAGTTTAGCTTGTCCTTTTGCCTACAGAAAAGGTCTTTTCAATAATTTTATATAGCTCTTTATATTTTAAGAAGTCTTTAATTTGCTTTTATGTCTTCTTGAAGTAGGCAACTAAAGCTCAATAGTATTATTTTAAAGTTCAATTTCCGGTTTTGGTTTTTGTTTTTGTTTTTTTCCTTTCTGATTGAATCTGCCATTTCCTGAGCCATTCTGGTTGTAGTAGTATACTGAACCAGTGTCAACCTGTACCAGTTCACCGTTACCAGTGTATGTTCGTGGATTGCATCTGATACTCCAGTGTCCAACATCTAATACAAATTGTTGATGTATTTTTCCCTAAATGCTTTCCAGCTATCTTTATTGAAATTTGCTTCTCTGCTTTCCTGTTCACTATCATGTTGTTATATGTTTTCCCCCATTGAAACTGCTTTTCAGTACCAAGAATATCTCAATACCCACAGAAGCCTTGGAAATTTCCCTGTGGGCATTTTCCAGGACATTCTGCTAAATAAAACTACATATAGCACTGGTTTCCAGAAAGCACCACTTTTATAGCCCCTTATAAGTTTTCATATGTATCTTCTTATTTCTTCTGTTTCTAAATGAGTTGCCCTCATAACGTGACTAATTTTATTTAATAGCCTCCTATATAGAATTCACAGTCTTGCTCTTTTGTGTCTTCCTACCACAGTGCATCTGATTCCTCTCTAGAAGTGGTTTAACTCAGTCTCTTTTCTTACAGCCTAAATTTAACCTTCCTGTAAATCCTAATCTACCACATTTCTTTACATCTTTCTTCTTCCTTTTCACACAGAAGTCCTGGGGCTCTGTCATGGGATTACTATCATCTTCCTCTCATATTAAACTCTGAAATTCTCAGTTATTTTTTATTCTTTCCTCCCTCTCAAGTCTTACATCCCTAGAGAAAGGGGTCCAGGAATATTGTATTTCTGACTATCTTCCCAGTGCCTAGCTTACTGCCCCCTTGGCAAAACGCAGCAGATGGAACTCAGAAATCCAGTCCTTGCTCCTTCCACCTCCTTACATACTGACCTGTATTTCAGAGAGCCTCTTACACTGATCCCTCATTGCCACTCCTGTTGTGGAAAGCCCATCTCCTAGGCTTAGAGGATGATCTCAATGTTTACAAACAAAGACATTAACAGAACGGTGTGACCTTGTTGATCTCTAGGATTAGGGAATGCTCCCAAACATCTTGTTCAGAAATTCTTTCTTTCAGCTCTTTCAAATAAGATGCTTTCCAGTGGCATTTTCTCTGGAAGCCAGAAACTCCCTGCCCCACATGCACATATAGCATCTTCTTGCCAGAGTTGCTGAAGTCCATAATAGAGGAAATCCAGCACAATAGAGAGACCTCAATTGACTACACTGATTAGGAGCACATTGGTTTTTGTTGTATTCAATTCTAATTATTTATTACATAGTTACTGTCCTTCAATGACATGTTACTCTTCGTCTGTGAGCTTCTGTCCACTGGTAATTAGAATGTTTATTTAAATCAAGTTTAATCTTCCTGTTAAAAACAGTGTTCTAATAGTCATCCATATTAAAATATTATAGGGCAGTATTAAAAACTACAAATATTACTCTTGGGAATCAAATCATACACTGTAGGACATCATCTTTCTTGGCAATAGTACTGCTATTGTACACTGATGGCCTCTAAGGAGAAGAAATTATTCCATTGAAAGAAAAGTAACTATCAAGAACAAAGTTGGAAGTGATGCCTTTAAGCTATTGGCCCATGTCTAAATGTACTTTTGATTTTCATTTTATTGGTTAAGTAGAAATTATTTATAATGTAATGACAGCCCATTAATAAATGTCTCCTCTTTTGAAGGTGGGGTTAATTCAGTATGCCAATAATCCAAGAGTTGTGTTTAACTTGAACACATATAAAACCAAAGAAGAAATGATTGTAGCAACATCCCAGACATCCCAATATGGTGGGGACCTCACAAACACATTCGGAGCAATTCAATATGCAAGGTAAGTTTTGGGGCTAATAGGCCAATGTTTTCATAATGTAAAACATTATATTTATGCGATAAATAAGAAAAAGTAAGGAAAAGACAAAGAAAAATAATATACCTGGTACCTCACTTAAATCAGAATTAATAAAGAAAAAAACATAAGAGCATTCTATGTCTTGAATACTTTGACAAGGCAGTTGGGAAAGTTAAATGTTTGATTTTAGGATATTTATAAGATATTACATGATTTTTATATGAATTCATATGAAATAAATGAAATGAGAAGACCTTAGATTAAAACAGTAGGAAATGGGACAATCTGTCATAATTTGTTAAGATTCATCAGAGATCCAGACAAATTGAGTTCATGGACCACTTGGTGCAAATTAACAAAGGCCACAGAATCTTAAACATATGAGTTTAAGTTTATTACACCTTATTACAATCAGTGGGAAATATGAAATTATAACAATACTGCACTCTCTTGATTCTTATCTCAATTTCTTTATTTTCTCAGATCCACTGACCTTTGTCTTCACTCTATGTTTTAATATGTTTTTATTATACTTTAAGTTCTGGGGTATATGTGCAGAACGTGCAGGTTCATTACATAGGTATACACATGTCATGGTGATTTGCTGCACCTATCAACCCGTCATCTACATTAGGTATTTCTCCTAATGCTATTCCTCTCATAGTCTCCCACCCCTCAACAGGCCCCAGAGTATGATGTTCCCCTCCCTGTGTTCTCGTTGTTCAATATGTTCTCATTGCTCAGCTCCCACTTATGAGTGAGAACATGCAGTGTTTGATTTTCTGTTCTGGTGTTTGTTTGCTGAGAATGATGATTTCCAGCTTCATCCATGTCCCTGCAAACTAGATACCTTCACAAAAATGCTAAACACACTCCAGTTGTTAAACAAATTATTGAGAACAACAAGCTAGCCTTTCCTTAAACCTATTCTCACTCTTTGTCTTGTGCATTCCTTCTTTTCACCACCATAATTCTTTTTGAAAAAAGCAGCTCTATTCCCTCTCTCCACTTCCTTGAAACCTACAGTTCTGCCACTAAATAAGCATGACCCTCTTCATCCCCCAACCCCATGGTCCCACCTCAAACCTCATCCTTTCTGGCTCCTCTGAACATTTGATAATGATGAACATACTCTGCTATTCCTAACCAAGTTGCCGTGACACCACACACTGCTCGAACTCCTGACAAATTCTTTTGCCTCTTCACTAGCTCCTTTTCCTATTTTTCTTCACTAAACAGAGCCCCGCTTCTTTACTGCCCTTCTCCTGTAGGAATTCTATCCACTGTCATGGCATCAGCAGCAGCACTGTGTCGGTTATCTCATTGCTATGTTGTCAGCCCTACACTCTCTCCCAAAACTCACACTGGCATCTAGCTGATGCTGAATATTTTTATTTGGAGTGTTCGCTCACTTACCAAATTCAATCCCTCCCACACTGGCCTTATTCTTTTCCCCGCCACTCCTCATGAACTTGCCATTTTGATTTGTACCACTGTCTCTTGCCTAGTCATTCGAACTAAAACTTTGGTTTCCTTTATTCTTTCCACTCTTCCTTACATCACACATCTGGTCAGTGGCCACATCCTGTCATTTCTATTTCTGTATTTCCTATTTTATCTGTCTTCTTCTTCTGCGTGTATATTTCAGTTGCTGCTTCCATCAACTGGTGACAATCCCAAATGTCTCAAAAGTGGATTCCCCACAAGAGAAGATATGATTGGTTTGGTTCATCATTACTGTCTCTATTCAGGGACAATAAAGGTTTTTTGGGCCAGGCCTTCTCATAAGCTACTGGACAGTCAGCAGGTCAGCTGCCATTAGGTGAAGTGCCCTTCCTGATCCAGCAAACTGGACTAGAAGGACAAAGAAGTTGAGATGAAAAATGGCCTTCCTGGAGTTAGAAACTGCAATGGGCCCTGGTTTTCAGCAGGGAAGGTGGGAGTAGTATATTTCCCTGTCTGGAGCCTGGGGCCCTGGTGAGCTTTGTTCTCCAGGACAATGGCCACTGTCCCTTGAGGAAGGACTTGCCTAGCTTTCATCATCTTTCAAAACTTTGGTTTTCTCCCTTGCACCTTTGTCTATCTCCCTCTTCCCACTATTTCCCAAGCTAACAGGATTTAGTCTACCCAGTGCTAGGAGAATCACCCAACTTTTTACTCATCCCACCTAGAATGTAATTGCCTCTATATTTCTTCTCTCTCTCTCATCTCTTCTTTAAAACATTGAAGATAATCTGAAATTATTTCAGTAAATATTGCCATATTTTCATTCACTTCATTTCATTCAATGCCTACAGTTGCAGTTTATTGTTTTAAGCACTGCAGATAATTAAAACTAAATGAGACACAGTTTATGTCCTCAAAAACCTTAGAATCATACATGAAATTTACAGTGTGTCATAAAGAGTATGTGACACCCAAAACGGATCTGATGTGAATAGTGTAATTCAAATTTGGCCGAAAAATACAGAAGTTTTCTACGTTTCTATAGTCTGCATTATAGAATACAAAAAACATTTTAGGAAATAAAATGATATTCTCAGTTTTAAAGACAGTGTATTTGATATTATCTCTTAAAATTTGAAACATGTGTATCCTGTGCCCCAGTAATTTTACTGCTAAGATTTTATCCATTTGAAAAAGTATGCCAAGATATATACACAGGGATATTTATCACAGCCTTACTTGTAAAACTCAAAATGGCCTAAACACCCAATAATGGGGAACCGGTTAAATAAACCAGTCTTCCTTCATATGGTCCTCCAAATAAAATATTATGCAGCCGTTTAAAAAAAATAATGAGACCTTCATATATGTGCTGATATGGAAAGGTCTCCATCAGAGTGAAAAACAACTGTTTAGAATATGCCCTCATTTGATGCAAAGGCATAAGAATGATACAGTGGACTCTGGGGACTCAGGGGGAAATGGTGGGAAGGGGGTGAGGGATAAAAGACTACAAATTGGGTTCAGTGTATTCTGCTCGGGTGATGGGTGCAAATCTCATAAATCACCACTAAAGTACTGATTTATGTGTAACCAAATACCACCTGTTCCCAAAAAACCTATGGAAATAAAACAATTTTTAAAAAAGAATGTGCCTTCATTTGAGTAAAAGTTTAAGGGGTAGACTATGCTTGTACCTATATTACATCTAAATAAAACATTTTCTAGAAGGAAATGCAAGAAACTGATAATGGTGCTTACCTATGGAGAGGGGTTTAGTGTCACATTTGGTTTATACCTTTCCAAATACTCTGATTTTTTTTTTTTTTTTTTTTTTTTTTTTTTTTTTACCGTGGATATCTATTCCTTTTAAAAAAGAAGTATTGAAAAAGTAAACACAAACCTAATGCATACAATTTATAACAGAAATATCTTTGTTCTATTGATTGGTACTGATTAATTCAACTTTCTTAGAAGAAAATAATTCTAAGAAATACTGGGATAAATACTTGCACACATATACACAAATATGCCCTGACATACAAGACACTTTTTTAATGTCAAGAAAGACTTACATTTGTATATGTTTCTCTACAAGCTACAAATGGAACATTAAATATGTTGCTAGAGTTAATATGGAGTTACAATATATTCTGTTTAAAGAACTATTTTCATATTTCTATTTTAAACCAGAGGTTCTCATATTAACTTCGTGTTTTGATAGCAAGTCTTTAACTTTATCTGCCACAGAAAATATGCTTATTCAGCAGCTTCTGGTGGACGACGAAGTGCTACCAAAGTAATGGTAGTTGTAACTGATGGTGAATCACATGATGGTTCAATGTTGAAAGCTGTGATTGATCAATGCAACCATGACAATATACTGAGGTTTGGTATAGCAGTAAGTGGCTTTTCTTTTTATTTATCTTGCAGCTATTGGGTAAATCTTCCTTTATAGCATCACTTCTCAAGGCTGCACTTTCCCATTGGCTGTTCATAGTTGAATATAAAAGAAAGTTCTTACTCTATCTCTGCTTCTTCATGGTTTTCAATCCTGTCTACTAAATAAAGGGTTGTGGAAATGTTGCTTGATTTGCTTCTCCAGAGGGGCTATTGTGTTCAAAATAGACTGGAATGTACTCGTAGGGAAAACGTACAGCAATAATGACTGTACATTCTCTTCCTCTATTTTCAAGGTTCTTGGGTACTTAAACAGAAATGCCCTTGATACTAAAAATTTAATAAAAGAAATAAAAGCAATCGCTAGTATTCCAACAGAAAGATACTTTTTCAATGTGTCTGATGAAGCAGCTCTACTAGAAAAGGCTGGGACATTAGGAGAACAAATTTTCAGCATTGAAGGTAAAAAAAAAAAAAAAAAAAAAACTCCTTTCAA